TTACCATAAACATTACCATTGGTCCATTACCATTACCATTACCATTATAATTCCATTACCATAACCGTTACCATTATCATTTTCATTACCATTACCATTACCATTACCATTACCACTGTTTGCGAGAATTCGAAGAAATGACTGTCTTCCTGCGTGCATGAGCATTTTGGTCTGCCGGACCCACCCGTCCCTCTGCTTGCATGACGAGGGTGGTAAATACAATCATCCTGTGAATTCCTTGTTTTCATCGTGTTGCTGTCTGCAGTGACCGGGGAGTGGCATACACCATGAAGGGTTATCAGATCCCCGAGGGCTCTCGCACGGCCATAGGCTCTCCCATATCCCAGGCATGTCATCCCCTCTCCCACTTCTCTTTCTGTTTCTTGCTCCTGTGCCGCTTCCCTGTGGATCTTGGCTTGTCTCGGGGCAATGCGTGGCTTGAGTTCCGAACTTGTTCCGGTGTCACCTGTGTGGGCATGCTTGGCTTGAGTTTTAGGAACACCGAAACCTGTTTTTTAATTCGCTCTGAAATATTCTCGCTCTCCTAATCCTTGACCCACACACCCCCACCTCTTCGTCAGATCGTGCCTCTGCAGGGCTCAGAGTGCATCACATCCATGCTGCTGCTGGGGGACTTTTCAGAAGACGCCTATCTCGTCATGATGATTCACACTACCCCGACCACCCCCTCCCCTCTCTCTCCCCAAACACCTCTCCGTCCCCTCTTCTTCCCCCTACCCCATCAGATCGTGCCTCTGCAGGACTCAGAGCGCATCACATCGATGCTGCCGGTGGGCGATTTTTCAGAAGACGCGTATCTCGTCATGATGACGCGAGGGGGCTTCATCAAGCGCACTGCTCTGCATGCGTTCAGTGACACGCGGAAGAGCGGCCTCATTGCCATTCAGCTGGTATGTATGCATGCATGCGTCACATGTGTGCCTCTCTGTCCGTCTGTCTGTCTGTCCACACTTATCATGACGCGAGGGGCCTTCATCAAGCGCAGCGCTCTGCATGCGTTCAGCGACACACGCAAGAGCGGTCTCATCGCCATTCAGCTGGTGGGTGGTATGAATGCATGCATGCAGCACACATCTGTCAGTCTTTCTGTCCATCTGTCCACACTGATCGTGACGCGAGGGGGCTTCATCAAGCGCACTGCGCTGCATGCCTTTAGCGACACACGCAAGAGCGGCCTTATTGCCATTCAGCTGATGGGTCCACCTTTCCTTGTGCATAGCCTATTGCTATACAGCTGGACTGGTGGTGGTGAGTGTACACACCTATGCGTGACCGTCTGTCCACGCTTATCATGACTCAAGAGGATTCATCAAGCGCACTGCGCTGCATGTATTCAACTGGTGGGTTTGCATGCACTCTCAGTGACACTCGCAAGAGCGGCCCGATTGCCATTCAACTGGTGGGTCTGGTCAAGGTGGCAAGGTGTTGGTGGATCAAGTCAAGGTGGGTCTGGCTGGTTCCATGTGATGCCCTACCCTTAATGGCGAAAAGAGCTCATTGCACTGCTAATTCTTTCCAACTACACCGCACCAAACTCCGTACCACCGCCTCCCATCCTTTTCTGCCTTTCCCTATCCATGTGGTACCCATAATACCATTCCACTGATGGGCGGCAGGGCGATGGCGATGAGCTGGCGTGGGTGCGGAGAGCGACAGCTGGCGACTCCCTATTGGTTGGCTCGCAGTTTGGCAACATCGTTCGCTTCGCGTGCGACGACGACCAGGTATGTCTTCTCTTTCCCGTGTTCTCAGTTCTTGAGGCGCCTCAGAAGGAGATTTTTTAGGCGCTTTAAAACACGATTCCTGAAGCACATCAACAAGCAACATCTTTCCTCCCTCTCCTCTTCCTCACCCCCTTCTCCTTCCCCTCCACAAAATCTGCCTTCTTCCCCCCCACCAGCTGAGGCAGAGTGGGCGCACGGCGAGGGGAGTGAAGGCCATGCGCCTGAGGGAGGGGGACATCGTCGCTGCCTTGGAGATCGTGCCAGCTGTCGCTTCGTGAGTGGCTGCCAGCTGTCGCCTCGTGAGTGGCTGGCTGCTGCTACTCCTGTCTTATGCTCGTGGGCTCATATCCCTCTGCTGTTGAGTCGACTCAAAAGCATGCTCGTCGGCTCATCCCTCTGCTGGGCTTGCCTGGCTGCCTTCTCTTGCTTGCTTACTCCCTTGTCTGATCTGCTTACGGCTCTTGGCTGAGTTACGCATCTGTGTGAATCATTGTTTGCATGCATGCATGCAATGCCGGAAAGCACACACTCCGCTTCTTGGTGCTTCCTTTTCTACATTCTCTTCCCTTTCTTCCCTCCTTTCCCAGCGAGTCCAAGGACGGGGGCCCGTGGGTAGTCATGGCCACTCGCAACGGGATGGGCAAGCGTGTTCCCACGAACCTGTTCGCCAACCAGAAGAGGGGCGGCGTGGGAGTGAAAGGCATTAAGGTGAGTGAGTGAGTGAGCTTGGGAGTGAATAGAGTGCGGGGCGAGTGTAGTGCCGAAATGGGTAAGCGTGTTCCCACGAACCTGTTTGCCAACCAGAAGAGGGGGGGCGTGGGGATGAAGGGTATCAAGGTGAGGATGTGGGGTGAATTGAGTGCGGGAGCGTGTGATTCAAGTGCCATGGGCTGGGAGCAAGCGTGTTCCCACGAACCTGTTTGCCAGCCAGAGGAGGCGTGGGGGTGAAGTGCATCAAGGTGAGCGTGTGAAGTCAGTTGAGTGCGTGAGGGGGTTATGTTACGATTTGTGAAGCCAGTCAAGTGTACAGGGCGCCACTTGGCTGTATGTGACAATGCCATTTCAATGTAGTGATGGGCTGGGAGCAAATGTGTTTTCCCACCAACCAGTTCGACAAAAACAATGACTTAGAGTCGACTCAAAAAACTCTTCAATATAAAAATCTATACTGCTTCTGAGTCGATTCAAAGATGATGGGCTGGGAGCAAGTGAGTTCTCCCACCAACCAGTTTGACAAAACAATCTCCCAACTACCCCCTCCCTCTTCCCCCACCCTCATCTCCCTTACTGAGTGCCTCAACCGCAGCTGGGCAAGGGGGATGCACTGGTGGCACTGTGTTTGGTGGGCTGTTCAGGGCGCCTCACAGGAAGCTCCGAGGTGACATTTGAGTCGACTCAAAAGTCACTGCGTCTGGTGGGCTGTTCAGGGCGCCTCACAGGAAGCTCCGCCCGAATACCTCTCCCATCTTCTCACTGGTGGTGCTCCATCCCCCCACCCCCCCTCCCTTCTTCTCATTGTGTGCATCACGTGCAGCTGGGCGAGGGGGATGCACTGGTGGTGCTGCGCCTGGTGGGGGAGGGCACCGGTGACAGAGATGGTGAGTGGGGGGAGTGGGAGGAGAGGGCGTAGAGAGGGGAGGAGAGGGTAGATGGGATTGGGAAAGAGAGATTATTTCTGGTGACGCTGCGTAGAGAAATGAATGTGTTTGTGAGTGGCGAGGAGAGGATGTTTCCTTACACACCACCCCTTCCACTTCCCCCCTCCTACATCTCAAATGCCTAATTGCCCCTGCTTGTTACTCCCCAAACGCACTTTCTTTTCCGCATACATCCCCTCCGATTCCACACAGCCACTGAAACCACTCCCAACGAAGCTTGTATGGGAGCTGATAGTGGGCAGCGATGGGGGAATCATCGACCGGCTGCGAGTGCGAGACATCCCCATCCTCTCATCCCCATCCCCCAACCCCCATCCCCTCATCCTGCAGCTTCTGACACTGTAAACGGCGAGCTCTTAGTGGGCAGCGACGGGGGAATCATCAACCGGCTGCGAGTGCGAGACATCCCCATTCTCTCCCGCACCACGCGGGGTTGTCGCCTCATGCGCATCGCTCCTGGTGACAGCCTGGCATCGCTGTCGCTGGTGCCGGGTGCTGCAGAGGGAGGTTTAGATGAGGAGGATGGGGTGCCGTTAGTAGTGCCTGAAGGGGGGGTGAGTGACGAGGAGGGAGGGGAGAGTGAGGAGGGAGGGGAGAGTGAGGAGGGAGGGGAGAGTGAGGAGAAGGTGGAGGAAGGGAGCAGGGTGAAGGCGAAGGTGGTGCGGTAGTTGGGATGTAGGAGGAGGGTGGTTGGTTGGATAGACAGGTGAAGTGCAAAAGCTTAGCTGCGCAGAGCGTACAAGTTCTGGATCGAAGGGTTTAGCCACAGGTGACAAGTTTTGGGTGGGGATTCAATTAGTGAGCCTCCATTTGCATCGCACACACCAGGACACAGGCTTGAGCAAGGCTATAAATCAACTACTGTACGGTCAGTACCCCAGGATATGGTAAGTACAGAACACATACGCATTCACTAACTTCACATACGGTACTTCTTCGATACATACATGATATCGTTCAATACTTGCACAGTGCGATACACTGCAACTGCGACACTTCTCTTGGTGCAGCATGGTGTAACCCGTACTTCTCTTTTCCATGCCTGTATCGTCAATACAGCGCACTAACCAGGGTAAAAATTCCATGCAGCTTTTTCTTCACTACAACGATGAAAGTGGCCTACCCACGGTTCTGGCCTGAATGGGGCATTTAAAGGGGCGTGCGTGGATAACCCATACTTTCAATGGCAGTCCCAGGTGCAGCAGGGAAAAGGGATGAGAGGAGAGGCGTGTACAAGAGTACTTGCAGGTGGAGAAGCTTCCAATGCAAACCCAGAGGACCTGGGTCCTGTTCACTGCGACCTGGGTTTCCAGGTCCTCCTGTCCTGTTCTTTCACTCACTCCCTCCTAATCCTGCGCGCAAAACAGCACCCAGAACACCAATGGTTAGACAGAGATGTGGGGGACAGAGAAAATGAGAGAGAGGGAGCCTAAACAAAGCAATGGCAGCACTGGTAAGGGGGGGGGGGAGGGAAGGGATTGTGGCACCAAAGGGATTTTGACCATCCTGAATGCAAGATCAGACTGTGAAAGAAGCGCCAAGGGCCGAGAGAAAAGTATGAGGCGGCCCCAGGCATGCTTACCAGCCCTGCTCCCACCCATGGTTACCTGAGGAACTAGCTGAGGAAGTATCGAGGAGTCTCGACGCATTCCATACCTGGGGCAGTTGATCGGACGGTCCTGATGCACCAGTAGCCGTGGGAGGGACAGGAGTAGGGGCAGCAGGGGCAGCCCTGCTCCCACTCTGGTTACCTGGGGCACTATCGAGGCATCTAACCCTCCATACCTGCGGCAGTTGATCCGTCGACCCGGATGAGCCAGCAGCGGCGGCAGCAGCAGATGGGACCAGGGCAGGGGCAGGCGCAATGGGGGGTGGTGCAAAAACGGCAGGCGCAGCGGGAGCAGGGGCAGCGGAGGCGGCTCTAGCGGCAAGCGGGGCGGAGAATCGCGGCACGTGGCCGTCGAGAATGCGCGAGCAGTCGGTGTAGGCGGAACCGACGCCGCAGCCGGCGCCGAAGGCGAGAGCCGCCCAGCGACTCGTGGGGGACCCTGAGGGATGGCGGGAGGGGGAAGGAAAGAAAGGATGCGGGGGGAGAAAGGAATTGAGCGCGCGTAGAAATGCGCGACAGCAGTCGGGGCGGCCCATCGACTCGTGGGGCTCCCTGATTGGTGAAGGGAACGGCGGGGGGAGGGGAAAGAACAGCTAGAGGTGGGACATGCGTGGGGAGGAGGAATAACTAGAGCGGCCAAGCGTCTCGTGGGGCTCGCTCAAAACAAGTCGGATCGCTCACGGAACACTCACTAAAGGCGGATCACTCACTAAAGAGGACGAGCCCGGTGGCGGCGCCCGCGAGCGTGCTGTAGACGACTCGGCGAAGCGAGAGGTCGACGCAGAGGTCCCATTTGTCATCCATTAGCAGATCCTGCGCGCGCCGACTCGGAGCCGCCATGGCTGCCGATTCCGATTCCTTTTCGTCCTTTGTTTCTTTCTTCCTTTTTATTTCGGTTCGCTTTCACTTCTTTTCTTCTCCTCGTTCTCCGTTCGAAGGTTCTACGACGGCGGTAACCTTCGCGAAGCTCCTGGCTGTTCGCGACCGCGATACGGCGCCCCAAAAACCGGTACGCGCAAGCTTGTAGTACGAGACTGGTGGTGGGGATTCGCTAGTACTACGGATTCGAGCGCAAAAAAAACTGAGATTCGTGCGCAAACTAGGCTGTATTTGAAGGAATAAAGACTCGCGGAAACCAGCAGCAGCTTCGCGCAGCCTCTTGCGCGACGAAGATCGGGGCGCGACGGGGATGCCGCTGGTTAGAACGGCTAAGAAACTGGGCTGGCCAAAGCGACTGGCGGAATGCGGTGTCGGAAACTAGGGCTAGGAAGTAAACGCTTGGGGGAGGGGGGAGGGGGAAGATGGGAGGGAGGAGGGGGAAGATGGGAGGGGGGAGGGGGAAGATGGGAGGGGAGAAAGGGGGGTGGGGGAAGGATAGTTGGGGAAAAAGGGGAGTGTTTGTGAGGTGGGGGGAATGGTTGGGGCAGCTGTGCGGGGATATGGAGGAGGGAAAGTGATTTCGCTCGGGAATCCTTTTCCCCGTTTTCAGAATTTTAGTGAAGGATCTTATGAGGGGGATGAATCTGCACGTGGTGGTGTTTGTCTTCGCTCAACCGTAATCGAAGCCTAATTCACCACGTGAAATCGCAGGACACCACCTGCGACAAACGCTAGTTCACAACCTGAACAGACAATAGACAAATACGGACACAGCAACCTGTGACCTAGATGAATGTAAATTCATGGACGCGCATTTCCGCGCTGCGCTGATCGTAGGTATTAGCCGTGTTGATTGAACACGACTTACCAGCTCATTGCAATCGCAGTTCCTCCAATAATAAACTCGGTAACATGCTGCGACTTCATCATCAGCAAATTCGGAACCCTCATTTTCCTCGCGCATTCGCGTCGCGGCCACCTCGCGACCAGGTCGCATGTTCCCCAGTAGCGCGTCTTTGGAACAGTCGCAACAGCGTCGCATGGCACCCCGGCGACAGCACTCCCTCCAGGCAGCGAGGGACCATTCTGATTCACCTTTCCCACTCGCAGCTTCGCCATCCCTGTTTCTTCTCCCCGCGTTTCCCGCTCATATCCTCACAGCACCATCCCGCTTCCGATCCTCCGCCAATTGCTGCACCACCAACGGCAGCAGCGTTCCGCAGCGCCGTGCGCCTCGGCCTGCTGCTTCTGGGCGGCACAGCGGCATTCGCGGTGGGCTGCACCACTGTCGCATCCGCCATCTTTGTCGTGTTCGCGTGCAATCGCGGGATGGATGGACGGCCAGGATCCGCTCCTCGCGACTGGGGGGCGCTGTTTGACGGGGGAGGGGGCGGGGATGCGGGAAGTGGGGGAGGGGGTGGCGGAGGGGGAGGCGGAGGAGAAGGGGGGAGCGGAGGGATGGGGGGAGGTAACAAAGGAGAAGCTATTCATTCAAAAATTGAGATGTCCCAGCAAGAGGTGGACGATGGTGGTGGCGATGGTGGGAATCAGTCAGGAGAAACCGAACCAGGGGGAGCAGGGATGATGACGTACACTGGCGAAGTTGCTTCTGAGAAATCTCTAATTGAACGGGACGAGGTTGCAGCACCAGTGTACATTATAATCCCCGCTCTGAACGAGGCCTCAGCGCTGCCAATCACGCTGCACCACCTGTCAAAGCTCTCCCCACGGCCAGCTGGCATCATCGTTTCCGACGGCGGCAGCACAGATGGCACGCCGCGATTGGCTGAATCTTTGGGCGCGATGGTGGTGGGCAGTAAGAGGGGAAGGTCGGTTCAGATGAACACAGGCGCTTGGAAGGCAATGCAGCTGATGCAGCAGGTGCATGAGAGAGAGGAAATTCCTAAGCAGATGCAGCAGAAGCAGCAGGTGCAGGCGATGCAGGAGCAAAGGGGGGAAGGATCGGAGGGCAATGTGAGACACTGTGTGAAAGACCAGAGTGCAAACCTCATGAATGGGAACAGCGCGAGCAGCAGCATTCTTTGCTTTGTTCACGCGGACACTCTCGTGCCGCTGGATCTCGTCACACTTGCCAGGAGGACACTGCAAGACCAGTCAGTGTGCTGTGGGGGGTTTGTGCCCGTGGTGGCTGTGCCGGGGCGGGTCTTCTGGGGCATGTGTCTCCGGAATGTGGCCAAGACCTGGTACGTGCCGCTGCTTGCCCCTCCACGGTATGCTGAACTGCTTGATGCTGATAAGGCGGCGCATAAGAGCACAAGCAGCAGCAACGGTACCATCATCAACAGCAGCACCACCAGCCGTGGTGGCAGCAGCAGCAGCAGCAGCAGCAGCACTGGAATTGGAACCATAAGTGGTGAGGTCAGTGGTATGGGCTCGTCATGGTTCAGCGGTGTTGCGGCGTTCCTTCGGGGTATGCGCATGCTCTACGGAGACCAAGCCATGTTCTGTCGGGCCCAAGACTTTGTGGGCATTGGAGGATTTGATGAGAGGCTGGCTATTTTGGAAGATTCTGACCTGTCAGAAAGGCTTCATGTGGATGGCTGGTGGCGAACCATGCCAATTAGCAGAGATTCGCTAGGCTTCATTGGAGGGTCGCATGGTGATGACAAGTTGATAATGAAACGTGGAGGTAGGATGGTTATGCTTTCCCGAGTGGTGGTTACAAGCGGGAGGAGGTTTGAGCATCTGGGTGTATTTCAAGCCACCTTTGCCAACGTGATATTAGCAAGCGCATACATATTTAGAGCTCCACCCGATGTGCTTTACAAGCTGTATAAAAGGCTATATTGTGATGTGAGATAGACAGTTGTATCTTTCCTTCCGAAACATACACTCCGACAGTTTATTGCAAATTTGCCGAGGGCTGGATATTCCATATTCACAGTCGAATCCGACCAATCATGTCACGCCGCTCAGTTCACACCTCAACAAGCTCTGCGTCCAGGCAGGACTGAACGCCAACTCACCACACGCGCCGAGACTCTGATTGGATGAAATCGAGGAAGAAATGCGGCCTAGGGTACCCTGGGAATCTCTTCTTTTCCCGCCTTGCAGACAGGCGCGACTAGCTCAACGAGGTGGTGAAAATCCCTCGAAGTAAATCCCAGGGAAACTACTCCAGAGCTGGACTTTATATGAGTCGAATACACCCTCAGGATTTCGTTGTTTGACGGTTCTCTGGATTTGAGTTTTTCCTCTCGTTCCCTAGCCGCGCTTGCAGCTCTGATACGTCGTCGTTGGGAGCGTAAAACCCATTGGACAAGAGCTTTCTGGCTCGCCTTTTTGCGTAGGTTTTAGTCTGACTCAGAAATCGATTCTGTTGGCGGATCGGCGCTCTGGCTACTTCGACCGTCGTGGCGGAAGCGTCGTTGCCTTCATCGTCCGAGGACTCGTCGTCTGCGGAGTCGATGGTGCCACAAGGTGCCGCGAAAATGAACTCCTTCGAGATCGAGGACAGTCCCTACAACAACGACAAGCGGCGGCGATCCAACAGCCTCTTTGTGGTCAGTGGCTGTGCCCCTCGCTCTTCGCCCCTCGCTGCATTTCTTTGCTTCGATTAAGTCTGCTAGATGAACGCTTTCGAGGTCGAGGACAGTCCCTACAACAACGACAAGCGGCGGCGATCCAACGGCCTCTTCGTGGTCAGTCCCTCATTCTCTTGAGTTTTGAGGCTTCCTAACACCTAAAACTCATTCAAGCTTTTCGTTCACCAGTTTCGGGTTCCTGATGCCGGCTCGTAGCCAAGACTCAAACATAAAGAAACGAAACAGGCGTGCTTAAAATCTAGGCCGCCTAGATTCCTGAGGAACGGAAGGGCGCAAGTCGTTTCGCTGCTAGTCGTTTTGCAGCAACGTTGAGTCGAGAAGGGTTCAACCCAAACGCTGCCGACGGAAAACCTTCCTCCATATTTAATCGCGGTGAGAAGGAGGCGAAGTTGGGCGACAAGACTTTCAAGCTCATGCGGCATTCCACGCATACGAAGCGAATGCGGCATTTCACTTATAGAAAACGAATCCGGCATTTCACGCATACCTTTTCTAGGCGCCTAAAAGATGCGATGGCTGTGAGGAGAAGCCATGGTCGACATGAATGAACGGACGCGCCGTTCCAATCACGCCGGCTGTGAACGGCCGCACGTTTGACTCAAACTCCCCGCCGGCTGAGAACGGCCGCACGTTTGACTCAAACTCCCCGCCGGCTGAGAACGGCCGCACGTTTGACTCAAACTCCCCGCCGGCTGAGAACGGCCGCACGTTTGACTCAAACTCCCCGCCGGCTGAGAACGGCCGCACGTTTGACTAAATTCCCCGCCGGCTGAGAACGGCCTCACGTTTGACTCAAACTCCCCGCTGGCTGAGAACGGCCTCACGTTTGACTCCAACTCCCCGCCGGCTGAGAACGGCCTCACGTTTGACTCAAACTCCCCGCCGGCTGAGAACGGCCTCACGTTTGACTCAAACTCCCCGCCGGCTGAGAACGGCCTCACGTTTGACTCAAACTCCCCGCCGGCTGAGAACGGCCTCACCCTACACTCGAATCGCCTATAATTTTTTTCCCGCTCCCACTCTTGCCTTCGCCCCCTTGCATCCCCCTCCCCCTCTTCTAGGCTCGAAACCTGCTGCAGCCTCCGAGGTGACTTTTGAGTCGACTCAAAAGTCACATCCACCCGCATCCCTCCCGTTCTCCCACGCCGGAAACCTGTTGGAGCCTCCGCCCTTCCGTGTAGCGTGTGCGGCGCGTTTGTCTCAAACTGTCCACCCCCCACCCAACCCCAACCTGAGTCTTTCTCCCTCCCCTTCCTCCACGCCGGATCCTGCTGCAGCCTCACGCCCTCTGTGTAGAGTGTGCTGCATCTTCTCTCTCAACCTGTCTCCCCGCTCCTTTCCCCTCCCCTGGGTCTTCCACACCCCTGCGTGCCTTCCCCGTTGCCTGCAGCGAGCGGGCGTGTACCTGCAGCAGTTGCCAGCGCTTCAGTTCGCTGCCTTCCTCTGTGCTCTCCTCTCCACTTTTCGAGCCGACTCAAAAGTTCATCCCCACTCTTTGCTCCCTTTTTCTTCCAACTGTCTGCAGCGAGCGGGTGTGTATCTGCAGCAGTCGCCAGCGCTTAGTTCGCCGCCTTCCTCTGCACGCTCGTTTTCTCAAGTCAAGTCACCCCCTTCCCCCCCCCCACCTCTTCCCTTGGGTTCTCACATGCTGTTCTTCCAACTGCCTGCAGCGAGCGGGTGTGTACCTGCAGCAGTCGCCAGCGCTTCAGTTCGCCGCTTTTCTCTGCACGCTCGTTTTCCTCTGGGGCATCACCTTCGCACTCTCCCCCAACCGCCTGCCGTAGCTGCTGTTACTGCCAAACCTCCTGCAGCTGCCGTACCTGCTGGTTGCCATGTCTTAGCACGCTCCCCAGCTGGCACTGGGCCATCATGTTTGCACTCTCACCCAACCGCTCCTTGCCGTAACCGCAGTAGCTGCTTTAGCTGCTGAGAACAGGTGGCTGAGATTAGAAGAATAAGCCATGCTGGGGGAAAAAGTGCTAGGATGTTGATTTGGGGGGGGGGGGGGGTGGGGTGGGGGGATGAGGAGGGGTTGGAGGCGGGAGGAGGGAGGGTTGGGTGTGATAGGAGGGTTGGGTGTGATAGGAGGGTTGGGTGTGATAGGAGGGTTGGGTGTGATAGGAGGGTTGGGTGTGATAGGAGGGTTGGGTGTGGTAGGAGGGTTGGGTGGAGGATATAAATTTCAATTATGAATATTTTTGAAAGCTGTACCGTAACTCTTTTCAAAAATTTGTGTTTTGAAAGGGAGGCTGTTTGTAATGTAGGAATGAGCAGAGTCGAATCGTGCTAATCACCCGTTTTGGAGTACAAAACGTGGGCTGGAGGTCATTTCCCTCCACCCACGTCTCTCATTTTCAAACGGTTTAGCACATTTTCCCGCCCACCCACCCCTCGGTACAGCGACAACTTTAGCGAGATGTCAGCATTGTAGTATGTTAGAATTGCTTGGATTTCAATTGTACTAAACCCACTTGAAATGAGACGATGCCATGTCCACATGAAAGAGAGCAAGCTTTCTAAATGTGGAAGTGTTAGAAACCTGCATGTATGTCAAGTATAACTGTAAAATACATTCAGGTGTGAAAGCCACCTTTACATATTTTTTGTATATGGATTTGTGTATTATGACACACAAAGCTTTGATTGTGTATACTAAGTTCTAAAAGCTACACTAACCTTATTGAAATATTTCATAAACCAGCTGTTCTCTGTGACGGGCAAAACTCGTAGCACTCTCCTTGTCAGCCGCCGAGTCTCTGCTCTCCCATACCCTTCCCCACATCTCGCCACTGCCTCTCTCCCTAATGCCCTCCCTGTAGTGTCTCTCCTCTCTTCCTTTTCGCTCTTCCTCCATCTCTTCAGTCAAGATATCCTGCTGCTGCTTCCTCTTCTCCCCATCTCCCTCCACCCTTCTCACTGCTTCTAAGTCTCTAAATGCCTCAGACCCCTGATCTCTACCCTCCATTGGCAAACTATTCATGTTTTCTTGCCGAACCTCCTCTCCAGCCTCGTCCCAAACCTCCTTCTGAACTTCCTCCTCAGCCTCCTCAACCTCCCCCCGAGCCTCCTCATCAGCCTCTCCAGAAGCCCCCTGCTCCTCGCCAACCTCCCCCAGCTCGTCCCGAACCTTCCTCCGAGCCTCATTCCATGCCGTGGCAAACGCACAGTCAGCAGCATCGATTGCTGACGTGGCATAATCCTCCACGTCACCATCCAGAAAGCCTCGCCCTGTCTCCCCGTCAGCTTGAATCGGCGCTCTCAGCAGCCTAGTCAGCAGCCCATACTCCTCTGCGCGTTTAGCCCGGGTAATTTCCCCTCGAAAAGTCTGCCCTAGTACACCATGCACCGCATCCGTGTTCTGTTGTATAGACATTGGAGTAGCAAGAAAAAACAGAGTAGCAAGAAAAAACATTGGAGTAGCAAGAAAAAACAAACAAGTAGAATTTACATGAGACAAGCAGAGTTCCATGCTTGCTACTCCCCCCACATGCACACAGCAAGCAGCAATGTATCCCCATCAATCCTCACAGCGAGCCTTTTGAATACTAACATTGAGGTACTTAATATAGACGTTGAAGTGAGTGTAAGCCTCGTCAGCCGTCTGCAGCAGCGGGTGTGCGGCATGCAAGGACAGCTCCATGCTTGCTACTCCCCCCACACGCACGCGGTATGTGTCCCTGTCCCTCCCATCCCCCATGCCACCCGCCTCTGCCAGCACCATATGAAAGGCCCCCTCCCCATGCACTGCCTGTCCCACCTGGATTTGGAGGGAGGAGGGGAAGGAGGAGCAGAGAGGGAGGGGAGTGGGAAGTGAGGGGGAAGGGAGAAGGTCGGAGAGCCACATCCCTGCCATCCCCCATGGCCCCCGCCACTGCCAGCACCATGTGAAAGTCCCCCTCCCCTTGCACTGCCTGCCCCACCTGAGGAAGGGAGGGAGGGAGAGGGGGAAGAAGGGGAGCGAGGGGGAGGTGAGGGGACGCGCACATGGTATGTGACTCTGTCCCTGCCATCCCCCATTGGCCCCGCCACTGCCAGCACCATGTGCAAGGACCCTTAGTTTTGAGTCGACTCAAAGCTGCCAGCACCATGTGAAAGGACCCTTCCCCATGCACTGCCTGCCCGACCTGATATCCCGTCCCATAGAAAACGCAACCACCTCCATTCTCTTAAAAAAAAAAAAAACCCTCTCCCCCCACCTCTGCTGCCCCTAGCAGCCCTACTTGTTACCACGAATTACCTGAGTGGGAGGGTAAGAGGTCGCCGCCCATCTCCATCCTCTCAATGAAGCCCCTCTCCCCCCGCCCCTGCTGCTTCTACTGCCCGTAGCAGTCTCAATTCCCAGCTTGTAATGGCGAATTACCAGAGTAGGTGGGGTAAGAGGTCGACCGTCCATCTCCATCCGCTCAATGAATCCCCTCTCCCCCCGCCGCTGCTCCTGGCCGTCGCGCGCCTTCAGGAACACCGAGTGCTGCCGGCCAATGGGATCTCGCCACGTCATGTAGAGCTCCCTGGATGGCAGGAGCAGGCACGAGGAAACGGAAAATGACAACAAGGATGAGTTCCTTGATAAGAATGGGAATGACCATCCTCGCGTCCATGTTCACCATTTTTATCGTCGTCCACATTGAGATGTGCACACATCCCGGTCAAGGGACAGAAATGTCGACCATCCTCGCTTATTGAGTCGACTTAAAACGAGTCGATTTTTTTGTCGACTCAGAAATCCATCTTCATCATTTTTATCATCGTCCACGTTGACATGTGCACACATCCCGGTCAAGGGACAAAAATGTCGACCATCCTCGCTTATTGAGTCGACTTAAAACGAGTCGATGTTTTTGTCGACTCAGAAATCCATGTTCATCATTTTTATCGTCGTCCACGTTGACATGTGCACACATCCCGGTCAAGGGACAAAAATGTCGACCATCCTCGCTTATTGAGTCGACTTAAAACGAGTCGATTTTTTTGTCGACTCAGAAATCCATGTTCATCATTTTTATCGTCTTCCACGTTGACATGTGCACTCATCCCGGTCAAGGGACAAAAATGTCGACCATCCTCGCGTCCTCATACCCGTTGATGCCCATGTTGACATGCACACACATCCCCCGGTCAAGGGATTAAAATGACCACCATCCTCTCGCACACATCCTCATGCCCCTTGATGTCCCTGTTCACATCCCGGTCAGTCAGCAGGCAGAAGGACCAATTCAGCTCCTCATGAAAGTCAAACCTACCCCAGCAGACACCTAGTCCAAGACACTGCCTAGCCTACCTGATCCAGGACCGTATGTGCAGTCTGTGTCTTCGCTTCCCTCCTCTCCTTCCCCCCACCACCACCCTCGGATCCTCATACCCCTTGATCCCCATGTTGATATGCTCTATATGCACCAACTGGCATACTCACAAACTCCTTCCATACCTGATCCACGATCGTATGGGCATTTTTTGTCTTCTTTTCCCTCTCCTTCCCCCCACCACCAGCCTCGGATCCTCATATCCTTTGATCCCCATGTTGATATGCAAGTCTCGGTCACTCAGCAGGCAGAAGGACCGGTTTAGATTCCCGTGAAAATCAAATCGCGTGCCCTCCGCGCCCACGAAGTGCGGGTCGTTCTTCACTGTTGCGAGCGGGTTGCATTTGCCTCCGATATAAGACGGAGGGACGCTCTTTATAGTGTTGTCTACAGTGAATTTCATCAGGTTGGGGAGGAGTCTACAGGTCCCAGCTGTGCCGGCAATGCTGTGGGTGGTTGAGAGGAGAGAGGGGTGGGGGTGGGGGGTAGGGAGAGGGAGAAAGGGATGGCTAGTTAGGTTAGGTTCAGCACTCGATAGAAGTAATCGTCTAAAGTACTCGTCTATACCGCTCGTCTGCACCACTTGTGGGATGTAGCAGCACAGCAGCACAGCAGCAGCACTCACGTTGGCGGCTGGTAGTGGAAGAAGACACACTTGTCGGCCTGCGCGCACGTCTGGCAGCACGCGTTCTCATTTGTGGCCTGCACGTGGATGGGGGAGGGAGAGAGAGGCGCAGGGGGGGGAGGGGATGAGCGGATGTTCGAGAAAGACAGATACGCGCATGTCGTCACCGCAGCATGACCTGGGCATGACGTGCGCATGACGTCATGACAGCTACGTGCAAAGTAGCAGGAAGAGTGAATGCGGAACGAGGGGAGGGACGGGCAGCGGAATCAGAGGGAAGTGGAAGTGGGTCGCGGAGGGCGGAGAGGGCGGGTAGGGCGGGGAGGGCGGATAGGGAGGAGCGGGCGGGAAGGGCGGGAAGGGCGGAGAGGGCGGAGAGGGCAGGGAGGGCGGAGAGGTCGGGGAGGGCGGAGAGGGCGGAGAGGGCGGAGAGGGCAGGGAGGGCGGAGAGGGCGGAGAGGTCGGGGAGGGTGGAGAGGGCGGAGAGGTCGGGGAGGGCGGAGAGGGCGGATAGGGCGGGAGGGGCGAGAGTGAGGCGTACCGTGGTCTTGAGTATCACGGTGGTGCTGTCTATGAGCTGTCGGGGACAGAAGGGGTTGGGGGGAAGAGCGGTGGGGGAGAACAGGAAGAGGGTGGGGAAGGGCAGGGGAGGGCAAGGGAGGACAAGGACGAATGAGGGGCATGGTTCAAGTGGGACAACAAAGGAGAGAGAAGTTGGGGGGAAAAGGGACGCGAGGGGGGGACTCTCTATGTTACCCGCTGTTACCTGCTGTTACCACTGTTGCCGCTGTCACTGTTGAACCAGCGCTGTCACCGCTGTTCCCCGCTGTTGCCAGCACTTGCCCGCCGTTCCTGCTATTCCCGATCCGCCTTCTACCGCTACCATTTTGCACCGCCGTTCTCGCTCGTAATCAGTGACACCGTGTCCCTACACAGGACAGCCGCATTGCACCGTATTAAACCGCACTGTACCGTGCAACAACCACCTTGTACCGCTCGTAATTTATGTTCCCGTTTGAGCTGATAATGGTCGACGGCGTACCCCCTAACAAGCCTAACAAGGGAACCGCATTGCACCGCATCCAACCGCACTCCAACGTGCAACACCCACCTTGTACCGCTCGTAGTTCAAGTTGCCGTTTGCGCTGATAATCGTCGACGCCGTACCCCCTAACAAGCCTAACAAGGGAAACCGCATTGTACCGCATCCAATCGCACTCCAACGTGCAACACGTACCTTGTACCGCTCGTAATTCATGTTGCCGTTCGCGCTGATAATCGTCGACGCGGTACCCGAAGACAAAAGCCACCTGCCCTTGGTGTAGCTGACGCAGCGTGACGTCAGACAGCCGCCCTTTGGCGTCATCACGTCGAGAGTGGCAGCGAGGGCCACGTGGCAGGGGGGGTTACTAGTAGATGGGAGAACCGACGCGAGCAGGACGAGGGGGAGGAGAGCTACTAGGGCGTGGCGGAAGGAAGCGAAGGGTGCGCGCGAGCAGCGGGGCAGGGAGAGCGGAATGGAACGCGGAAGGGGAGTGGCGCGCGGAAGGACAGAGCCGAAAGCGTGGGGAGCGCGATGATGAAGACGGCGGGGGCATCGGCGGCGACATCGGCGGCGGCGGACTCGGCGGCTTCGGAGAGAATAGGGTGGGGAGCGACAGACGGATGGGGAAATGAGGGACGAGAAAAATGGGCGGTCCCGTGGCGTTCGCATTGGCATCATCACGACTTCCTGATCACTATCGGAGGTGCCTTTGTTGGAGATTATTGCATCGGAAATTACTGCATAAATGGTCACTATATCAGACGTTACTGCATTGGAAGTGTGTGCGAAATGGCGACTGCCTCGTGCGACGGCAAAGAAAGGGACTGACAACCACGTATACTATGCGCAATGCTACAGGTCAGTGTTCCGTGGAACTGTGATCTGCTCCTAGACCTCATACAATCAGGAAAATTAGTGGTCCATATAACTAGATCCGATAAGAAGGTTGCTAACATAGCTACTGCTCTTGTGCCGAATCCTCTACTGCCGCATCGACTGCCGCATCCTAGTACCACAGAACCTTTTAACGCAGCTTCTAAAGCAGCTTCTAACGCAGCTATTAACGCAGCTATTAACGGCAACCAACGGAGCTCTCTTTTCGCAAGGCATCCTCGGATTCTCGGGGATCCTCGGGACACCTCGCGTCTGACCTCTCTTTTCGCAGGGCATCAAAAGAGCATGTCAAATTGGCTCGACTCATACTACAGCTACGTCACGACTTTTCATCAGCAATTCCTAGCAATGACTGTCTCGAAATAGAAGGATCGAGCCAAAACCGAAGGCACGATAGTTCATCATCCTTGCAGGGCCGTCCTAGATAGATCTCGTTGCCTGAGCACTGACGCACATAGTACAAGAACACGAGGCATAATGATAAGCCGAGCCGACCAGGGGCACCGCGATACAGTGACAGTGACAGTAGCTAACGTAAATCCTGTCTGTGCTGTAATTAAACGGCGCGGTCCCCGCACAAAAAGTGGAACTTAGCTGGCAAAGGTTCACAAATACATTGGGTTTCAAGTGGTTTCAGTACTATACATACTTATTTAATTCGGTAGAAAATGGTTGAGTAGCCCATTCAGTCTCGAACCCCCTCAACGTAACACCAATCACCGTGCTGACTGGAAGTGTCTGGCCAACCCCAAGGTGGGATGAGCTGAGCAGGATTCAGGAAATGCTACGTTGCGGGCACCTACGGTACGCATGCGAAATAGTGGTCGCGAAATGCGCGCGAAAATGAATTTGCTGTTGGTACGTGTTGTTGGCGAGCAGCTTGGCGTGGGGCGACAAAACTCGAGGAAGAAGACGACGCTCACGAAATGTTGGCGATTTTATCGATGGAGCTGTGGTTGGCGGTTTGTGGTCTGCCCTTCACATGGAGCAGCAGAGGCATAACGATCTCGATTTTGTCTCACCAGGGTCAAGTGAACAGGTTCAGGGGAATTTGCATGGAGCATCTGCGGTGTGGAGTGAGGTCCAGGGTTTATCCCGAGGACAAATGCACCGATTGACCAATCAGGGATTGACCTAGATTCGAGGCAGCATTTCAAATTTCAACAGCACCAGCCCTCACCATACCACCAGCAGTACAGTATGGTTGTTCGGTCGTCAATGGTTTTGGCGGGAATGGGAGGAAACAGCTGGTTGGATTCTTCTGTCCCCCGACTGAACCGACTGAAACTGTCAGGATGATGTTGACACGGGATGGTACACCTCAGCCGACGAAAAACGCCGCCCAATTTCGCGGTTGAAATAGGACAAGGGCCCGAGTGGCAAACTGGGGCGACCTGGCAGTCCTCTGGGGCTCTGAACCCCTCGGGATTGTCGACTATCTGACGACCTCGGGTTTCGCTGAGAGAAACCCGAGAAGGATACCTCAGCGGACCCTGAACCACAGCTCGACAAGCCGCGATTACTGCCACGTGGCTTAGTAGGGACGGCCGAGATCGAGCCTGACAATCGGGAGGTGCCACGACGGCGCCGACGGCCCCCCTCTACGACACCGGCAGTTCGGGTCCGTCGACCGAATTCCGCTGGGGTGTTCGGGATGGTACACCTCAGCCGACGAAAAACGCCGCCCAATTTCGCGGTTGAAATGGGACAAGGGCCCCCTTCGGGATTGACGAGCTCCTGACGACCTCCGAGTGGCAAACTGGGCCGAACTGGCGACCGAGGTGCCTCGGGGGCCCTCGGGATTGACGACATTCAAACGACCTCGGGTTTGGCTGGGACAAAATAGGACAGCACGCCACGTCGAGCCGCGACTGCCGCCACGCGGACCAATAGGGAGGAGCCAGCCCGTCCCCACCGTGTACTAGGCTGCCACGCGGCGCAAATCGGACCGTCCAGGGTGTAACTGTTCTGTGGCATCGCGAGTTGCAAGCAATGTCGGTGTCTACCATTTCATCCAAAGGCCCACAACCAAGCCACGCGGCACAATCTCAACATTGTCTACATCGCACGAAGAAATGTGGCTTCCAGCAATAAGCTGGAAGCCTTCCTGGTGACTCCCGTTTTCGGGAGTCCTGTCAATCGGCTTTCAATACTGGGGGGTAATTGTGGGGCAACAGAACCACCCTGCAGTCAACCTGCGCACTGCCGAAACCAACCTGCGAGGCGATTGAAATGTGTAAGTTGCGCATTGCATGTCAGTTGGGGCGAGTAATCTAGTTTGTTACTTTCGGAAATGAAAAGGAGGCCCTCGCACAGGCGAGAATTGACAAGCTCAGTTGTAACCACTCGCGTAACAAAATTGTTAAAGATGGTTACCGCGTGATAACTCTCAGAATCCCAACCACTAGACCATTGGGATAAAAGGGCTTGTTTCAGTAGCGGGTCAGTGCGCCCATAACCCCCCAGGCAAATGTGCCTGTAACCCTTCCGTAGGATCGATCGGGGATCACCAGTGGACCTCTGACACCCCCCCGCACTGGGATGCCCGAAGTGCATACACCGGGATTCGAACCCGAGACCTTCGCTCTGGATACCATCTCAGAATCCCAACCACTAGACCATTGGGATAAAAGGGCTTGTTTCAGTAGCGGGTCAGTGCGCCCATAACCCCCCAGGCAAATGTGCCTGTAACCCTTCCGTAGGATCGATCGGGGATCACCAGTGGACCTCTGACAATAACAATATGCGTATGTATAAAAGCGATAAAGAATAGTTTAGTGGATATTTGTTCCTTTTGGAGATGTGACAAGGCGACATTTAATTGAGATAACTACACTGCTAATATTATGATCAATAGAATTTCGAATGGGTTTATTATCAACAAATCAAAACAATTCCGTAATAATAATTAAATAATATTAAACGCTTACAATACTAGTTGGTTAGAAATTAATCAACAAAATATCACATACTAAACCTGTGAAACTGAATGAACGGGAGTGGATGACTATGAAATGAAGTGGGTACAAATAGGAAACCCTAATTGGGTTGTACCCCCTATGGGATACCCCACTATAGCCTACAGAAACAAGTAAGCTATATGTTCTGACACACCCCCATAGGCAAAGTGGGGGAGAACAAGGGGTCACAAGACCAGTCAAGCAAAGTAAAGCAAAGCTCAGGGTGGATCACAAAGTCACCACGCATTCCGAGCACAAGTTCAAAGGCCAGAAGGCCAGTTTACATGCAAGATCATATATAGAGATATACAAGAATCAAGCAAGCAAGAACAAGAGTATATATAGGCGAAGGTACAAGCAAGGTCAAGAGGAGAGCAAGTGAGGCAAGACAGGCACAAGACCCAACTGCGTGCAACAACGCTGATGATCACAAGGCGCAAGTGCCTTGGTGAACACATCAGCAGTGTTGGCCTCAGAGGCCACGTACGCAAGTCGTAGCTGTCCACGCTGCTGTAGCTCACGAGCAAGAAAGTAGCGGAGAGCAATGTGCTTCGTTCTGTGCTCCAGTCGCTGCTCTCGACACAAGGCCAGCATGGCCTTGTTGTCTACGTACAGGACTGGAGGAGAACGAGGCTGCTCTCCAAGGTCGGTCAGCAGGTAGGTGAGCCAGCGTAACTCCTGTGCAGCCATAGCCCCAGCGTAGATCTCAGCCTCACAACTGGAGCCGAGAACAGAAGACGAGCGGGTAGCCCGCCACGAGACAGAGCCGGAACCTAGGCTGAAGGTGTAACCCTGTGACGACCGCTGCGTAGCCTGGTCGTCAGCCCAAGAAGCGTCTGCGTGCCCAGTGAGGACCACTGGACTGCGCCCTCCAAGCACTAGCCCCATGCCCGACGTACTGCACAAGTATCGCAACACCCTCTTCGCTGCAGCCATGTGCTCTGGTCGGTGTCTCCCAGGAGCAACAAAGCGTGCGAGAATGCTAAG